AATTAATATGTAAATGAAAAAATATTATCACAACAAAGTTTATATGTAATTTTATATATTTTTGCTATAAGTTTATATATACAAAAATTTAAGTATAACATATCATACAACTGATATAGCAAACTGATTGATAAATGATCCACAGCAAGAAGATTAAGTGCCATTTTTATTTTTTGCATTTTTTTTTAACATATAATATGTACTATTCCACCTGGTTTCGACGTCCAGCTCAGGTTTAAGATATAGAATTCCTTTTAGTTCACACAGACTACGCGAATCATCACTAATATGAATAGATATTTTGATTTTAGCCATTAGATTCCAGATTTTATTTACTGAAGAATCAACTATTTCTAATTCTTTTTTTGCAGCCAAGTTAAGAACGTGAGCCACACATCTATAGTGTGAGAATCTAATATTATCAAATTCATTTTGCAATTCCTGTGCAAGTAACCTTTCACAAACAATCATTGCAGATTCGTTATCTGTAGTAAGTGCTAACGTTTTTTCTTGTATATTAAAATGGGCTAGTAGATTGTTAATAGTATCAGCTATATTTATACCCATATGTTTATTGTTAAATAGAATGATATCTAAGAGAAAATGACGCAATTGCTAATTAGTATCAACATAATAAATTGTAATACCAAGAAACACTTCAAAATTTAAAGATGTTCACATATTGGCTGTTAAAGAAACCTTTCTTAGGATCTTAGAAATATCACTAACTATTTTACTACATTTATTATCAAATTCTTCCATAATTTTTGTTTTTACAGCTTGTCTAGTAGATAATGTATATCAGGGATCAAGAAAGGTAATAAACTCTTGAAAATATCGATTATCAACAACCATAAATGGTTGTTAGTCAACAATGATCAAGGTAATTAATTTTTCATCTTATTTTTTTGTTCTTCATCATTATACAGGTCAGTTCTGAGAAAGTAAAGGGTTGTTTAACGTTTATCTGGAGCATTAATATGATATCCGTTAAGATGTCTTCGTAAAGTTGAAACCTACTAGTAATTGAAAAAACCTCTTTGCATTGTCTGCATACAGGTTCTCCAGGATTATCAGTTGTTTTGGTGTCGTAATAAGGCCAGATTGAACTTGTTTTTTTAGTTTTTTTTTTTGTTTACGGTTACTTTGGGATGGTGAGCTAATTGAACTAATATTGGTTTCTTGAGTATTATGATCTGAGACGTTATCTTCAAGTATTTCACAGTCATCATATTCAAGATCATATAAGTCATCGTAGTCATCATAGGTTTTGAAAAAACTGTTATCTTCCATTTTTATTTATTTTTTTTTTTACTTATTTTTTTTTTTTTTACAATCATAAAATAAAGCTTTATATATTCAGAGAATTTACTATCGCATATGATTCAAACTTATTGCGATAAGTATTTTTTATTTTATGTTTTTATGTTATTTTAAATACAAACTATGGAATACTCTAGCTTTTTTTTTTGATTTTAGAATTTTTGCTTACAGGATAACACCTATCTGTATACAGTTCAAATATTATATGCTTTTCACAAATTTATTGCTAAAGAACAAAGAAAAAATTTATTTGGTATAATCGTACTAATTTGTTCTAAATTTCTTTAAGATATTTCTTCGCATATGCTTATTATAATATATTTTTACTCATGCCGTCCTATTTTCATACTTATTCTTGATTATTTATCTTTTTTTCATGTGATATATAACAACAGACATTCTTAATAGGCGAATAACATATATGCTGCTCTTGAGATAAGCTAAAAGTGTATTTTTTGAAAGAATGTATGTAAATTTGTGAGGTGTGTATTTATATGCATGAATTACTGAGCCAAATCCATAATAATATTGTTCTACTAACTGACACATAAGCAGAACCATAACTAGGTTTTTGGATTTGGTATTTCGATATATTTTTAAAATCATGCATGTGAATGCATGCAATCTCTAAGTAATTGTTCATTTCATATATTGTGCCCTGTGCAAAACCTGGCATATATACCTAATAATGATGTAAAACTTATATCTAATTTAATAAAATATGAAGGCAGTAGGCACAATTAGATCGCAATTAGATTTATTTTTACTAAGTAGATTTTTTTACGCCAATTTATCGACTTTGCACTTAAAATTTCAAGTTCAAAACAGAAATTTAGATTCGCATTGTTAGTATAATATATAATTGTACATAGTATGTATACATAAGTACGTATGTACTGTACGTACGTACAATAAGCATAAATACATATATTATATATTACATAATAAATTAAAATGATGTACAGCATAAAGGACCAGTCCGGACGTGGTCTTAAATTCGGGACCAAAAACTACTTAAACCAGTCCAATAGACTGGTCTGAACCACAGTCTTTGTAAAACCATAACATCTCTAGGTATACCCGATCCGGATCCGTAATAATATTGCACGATATCGCACGCTGATTGGTTAATTATATACTATAAGTATATATCTTAATTGATACGATCTTTTTTTTAATCAAATGTGTTTAGTGCATCTATCGCTATACTTAATTAACAAAACTTGCACTTAAAGAAAACTCTTCTACAAAGTTTAATTTTATTATTATTTTTTTTTTTGCCCCTTTACTCCAGGGGGGTTTTTTTTTTTGCCTTTTATTACGGCTTTTTTTTTAAAAAAAAAATTCAATTCAGATGATTAACTTATCCACTTTTTATATATTTAAAGTTGGCTACCTTTACTTTTATCAAAGCCAATCATGTCATTGCATTCTCAAGAATTCTAAGAATATGATTCACTCCGATACTGTAACCATTGATGGGAGAGCCTAAGAAAATAATAGGGATAAAGGTCAATTTAACTCCAACGATATACAGGGAGATAAAGATAAACTTAGAGAAATGAAGAGAATATAACATGTTGAAATGAAGGCTTCAATATTGATGGGGTGATAATGAGGTAGTGCAACTACAGGCGATGTTGTTAAGGATATTTCAATAAGGAGGGTGAGGTAAAAGCGGACGATAATCAAGTGATGTCAGGATAACTTTAAGTTCACGTGAGGGATTAACAGGGTCAAATAACCAATCGTAAATCTTGTTCTCTACCACAATTCTCACAGGTTACTAATGTGAATAGCAATATCTGATTCCACAACCATTCTAGAATCCGAGTCTTAATAAGCCAAATCAAAATTACAAATCAATTCAGTTCGTCGAATTGAGTCTCGAAGGGGTTTATTAAAGTTACAAGTCGAATTCAAAAGACAATACACAAGGGAATATTCGGATAAGTATTTATTTAATCAGAAATAGAGCGAGAGATTGAATTATTTAATGATAAAACGGTATTCTTTATTTTATCACTAACAAATTTTAATCTTTACTGCCTGGAGCTTTAGCTTAAATACATTTTGAAATTTGGCTACGTTTACTTTCTAATGGCTACGTTTATACTACTTTTGCTATATCTACGTAACCCTGGCTATATTTATATACCATTGTCTAAGTGATTATACAAGTAGCCTATTGTAACAGGTTCAAACGGCTATATTTACTTCCTAGTGGCTACGTTTACATATCCACTGTCATGTTCTACATGCCTTGAATAATATTCAATCTATCATTACTATTTTGGTATAAGTTATAAAATAATCATTATCGTTATCATTCGGCAAATATTTATCAAGTATTCCAAATTTGTAATAGCCAATTATACTGAAGTTATAAAAGCTCTATGGATCAGATCGGATCCAAGTCAGATCCGGTATGGTTTCGGATCCTAACTTGGATCTGATCTGATTTTTCGGATCAGATTCGGATTCTTAACAAGATCTGTCCGATCTGGTCCGTACAGAACACTAATTACACCTCTAGATATTATTTCGGATTTATACAGTAATAGTCAAAATAATACTCTGCCTTACTATTTGTTGTTCATGTCTATCTTTATTATAATTTCCTGTGCAATCATATCATAATCGAGAATCTTCTATGCGAAGATTTCTGGTTACAAATAATTACGTGAAAATTATAATAAAGGTAGGCATAAACAATATAAAGCAGAATATTATTCATTTATTTCTTGCGAGAAGTTTAAAATTACAACAGAGAATTTCTGATAATCATATAATGCAGACGGCCCTTTGGCCCATCTGTATTCTATGATTATCGGGAATCTCTATTGTAATTTTTAAGCTTTCAGAAATAAATAATACTAATTTATCTAAAGAAAAAAATTTTCTGTCTAATTAGCTTAAATAAAAAAACTAATATAACAAATTACAACAAGTTTTAATATATAAAATTAAGTTATAGCAAGTTTTAACATATATTTATAGCAGCAAAAAGTTACAACTAGTTATAACTTAGTTACATTATAGCAAATTCTAATACTTTAAGTTCTGCCTATATCTTTAACTTCTATATATTAAATTGGAATATCTGAATCAACAATAATTATTTTTTTATTTATCTTACAATTCTATTTTGTGTTAGTTGTAGCAAAAACAAACTACTTTCTTGTATCTTTTTATATACTTAATTGATAATCCGCCAGTCACCTGAAGAGTGATCATAGTGTAACGTGACGCAAATCACTATGTAAATTACTTATGGCGGAAATGCCACGTTCACCCAAGGAAACCTATTTTTTTACTAAGTTAATCGCCCTTCTCTATTAATTGAAAATTGTAGAGCTCATTACTACGAATCTAACGGTGGTTAGATCATTAAAATCGGCCCAGTAGATACCGAGATATCTTCGAAATACGATTGGCCGACTATGTAAAGTTCTATGTAAACAAACATTTGTTACATAGAATTTTGTAGTCGGCCAATCGTATTTCGAAGATATCTCGGCATCTACTGGGCCGATTTTAATGATCTAACCACCGTTAGATT